GGATCTTCTGGGGAGTCTTCTCTCGTCCATTCGCTGTACATGCCTGAACCAAGTGAGTTGCTTCTTTTCAATTTCCTCTATAATACGAAGGTTGCCTTTTGTGTTTCGGGATTTGGCAACCCTGGTGTTGCAATCTGGCAACTGACAGCTCTATCGTAAAGTTGGATGTTTTGAGGTTATACGTACTCAGAACGTTTTGACATACGAGAGCTATTTGTGTTGTATACAGTAACTTAAAAGATTCATCTTGGCCCAGAAATGGAATCAAATCGTGAACATTTTCGTGCGATTATTTTTTACAACTTTCGACGTGGATTAACTCAGCAACAGTGGATGGATGAACTTAATTCAATATTTGGCGATGAAGCTTCATCAACAAGGACCAGTGTTTATCGATGGTATGGTGAATTCAATGGTGGTCGTAGAAGACTGTGGACTCTACGACGAAATTCGCGAAGGTCGTCCAAAATCAGTTGTTGTTCCGAAAACCATTAATGCTGTACGTGAGCTGATATTACAAGATTGTTCGCGTTGGATCCCACACAATTTGTCAATCGCTAAAAAAAAAAAAAAAAAAATGTGTGTCGATTGGTGGAAAGAAATGCTCAAAAAATACGATTGCGGTGTTTCGAAACACGTCTATGACATCGTGACAAGTGATGAATCATGGATTTACGCGTATGAGACCGAAAGTAAACAGCAGTCGACTGTATCAAACAACTGCATTTTTGAGCACCCAAAACATCGATTTGATGAGTCATCCGACGTATAGTCCTGAATTGGCACTGAATGACTTCTTTTTATTCCTATACGTAAAAAACAAACTGAGATGCCAACGTTTTTCGACACTTGAAGAAGCGGTTGCTGCATTCAGAATGCATGTTTTGGAGATACCTCAATCACAGTGGCAAAAGTGATTCGACAATTGGTTCAAACGCATGCAAAAGTGTATAGATCTTCATGGGGAACATTTTGAAACACAATAAAGTGATTTTCGATTATTAATATTTGTTTTTGTTCTCTAATCCTGAAATATAAAATGCAACCCTCGTATTATGTTGCAGATTCATTATTTCCTTAACCTGTTCATTCCTAATTCTTTCCCTTCTAGATATTACTGCAGCTCTTCTGAGGAAATAAATTTCCAAAGCTCTCAATTTTCTTTTCTGTTGTTCTGGAAGCTGTCATATTTCTGCTCTATGCACTGTAACACTTTCAATCATACATTTATATATTCTAATTTTCGTTTTCTTATATTTGGATCCCAGATAACAGAATTCAGGACTCCTAAATTTTTTCTTCCTTTAATGAGTCGGGTTTCACAATCCTTTCCATCAAGACCATGTTTTCCTATTGTTATTCCCAAGTATTTTATGTCCTCTGTTGTTATTATTTCTCCAGTTTCCATAGTCAATACGTCATGTATACTACCCAGAGTCCAGTAAACTGTTTTTTCTACGTTGAGGCTTGGTCCCCATTACTCACAATCTTCTTTTATCTTCCTAGTCATATATTCAATATCTTCTTGTTCTTGAGCCATCATCACCTGATTATCAGCGAACTGTAGGATATAGTGTTGTATTATCATCAAGTGGTATTCCCATCCCAGCACATTTTCTTTGCCATACCTGTAACATCGCTTTAACATACATTTTAAAGAGAGTAGGTGACAAACAGCATCCTTGCCGTAGTCCTTTTGTTATAGGAAATGTTTGGGTCATCTGTTTTTCAACTTTCACTTTTCGCTTTGGATCTGTATACAATTTCTTCACCGCATTTATTAAGATTTTATTGACATTACTTTTATTCATAACTTCCCATAACTTTATTACTGGCACACTATCATACGCCTTTGCTATATCAAGGAAGACCATGTGAAGTTCTCTCCCTGTTTGCCATTTTTTTGCATAACCTGGGACAGACAAAACAGGTTATATAAGCAAGATCGACCTGCCCTAAAACCACTTAGTTCTTCTTCGTACTCCTTGTATCCATCTTCTATTAATTCTCTTAATATTCTTCTATATACCTTACTGAACGTTTTTGTCACTTCTAGCCCTCTATAATTTTCACATATGTCTTTTTCCAGTCTTCTCGTATATCGCTTTTATTTATACACATATTCATTAACTTCGTCATGATTCGCACTAACTTTGGTGTTCCGTTCTTTATCAGTTCGCTTGGGATTTCTCCTGGACCCGGAGCTTTACCGCCTTTCATTTCTTTGATACATCTCTTAACTCTCTTCGCATAAAACACTTTACGATAAGCAATTTACCTTGTTTATAATTTATATTATCTATGTGTTTATATACACGCGCGCGCTCACACATACACAAAATAGTCTCTGGATCTGGCTGTTATGAAAGTGTTCTTCGAACATAAAGTGTCATCTTCCACTTTTACTAGGAAGGGAATTAGGTAGTCCGCAATTTACGTATGCACTTTCTCAGTCGGTACGCAATTTACATATGGATAAAACTCTCGTTTTCCTTCTAATCTACAGTTTACATACTCCAGAAATTGCTTAAAGAATATTTATTATCTTTCATTGAAAAACAAAAGCAAAATGATTGGACCAGGAGTTAGTAATAATGGTGTTAACATTGTTATCATCACCACCTTAATGATCTCTCAAGACAACCTCAACCATATTTAGTGTCAGCCTGCACTTTTACATATACTATGGCTCCTGCCATAAATTACATAACGCAAATTTGGAGTATTTTGAATACTCCCCTCCCCTTATAAAACACACTTGAACCCCTCCTAAATAATTACATAATGCTTGTGACCCCCCACCTTGTGAATGGAAAAATTAAGATAAATAATAGTCCAAATAAAAAACTATAATTGAAGTAGTATCACAAGCCATGCGCACACCGTTGTGGTTGACGCATGGGAAGGTCTACTGCACCAAGGATCCGAGGATATAGGACTACGAATCAGTTTTGAATATTTTCCATGTAGTCTTAAAGATTCAATAAACAATTGCTCATAAAATATTTCCATTTATTGTAACCATTTACAACTAATAACTTTAATTTGTTTTTAAAACAAATTAATTCGTTTATATTTAAATGTTTTAGTACAATACTCAAAGAAAGGAATTATTTCAGCAAGTATTGAAAAATTTAAAAAAATAAATGTCAATGTTACATAACAGATAACTAATACTCCTCTACCCATACATCACACGGTGTCAAAACCTCTTCCCCCCTCTTCTTTAATGTTATGTAATTTATGAATGTCACCTATAGTCATATTTAAGGATCAAATAAAACCATATCCAAATCGGTTTGCATATTCATGACACCTCAGCTTCAACTAATACCTCTCTACCTGTGTCTAGATGACAATGCAACTAGTCGCAGCAAAGGTCTACAGCACAATATCAAGATGAGCTTTCAAACAAACAGTGGTTTTAATTGTGAATATTTCAGCAGCAGTGGCATGGGTCACCGATTGCAGGAGCTGTTGAATGCACTGTTGTTTTGTCAGGGAGCTCAAGTTAACCAATGATCAGGAAATCTGAATCCAGGCTACAAATTATTTTTGGTTCAGCTTACACTATGTACTTCTATGGGTGTTTATGTCCAAGATAAGGAGATACTTACTATTCTAGCAGTCTCCTGAGGTAATTACCATTAGGACAAAAGTGGTTCTACCTGGACAGCAAGAATGCTATCCAATGCACCTCTAAATAAAGTTGTTGGAAAGTCTACTTCTTTGATAAGAATGTAATTCTTGGAAAGGAAATGGATGTTGATATTTGTGTGAACTGAAGAAAAGTTTACACTTTGTAAAAAACAACAGTACTTCCATTTTACATGAAAATTAAAATATGAAATGTATTTGAGAATAGCAAAAATGACTGCAATTTTTTTAGAGAATATCGTTTATAATCACTCGCTAACACAGGGGCGGATCCAGAGACGTATTTTGAGAGGGGAATTTTTTTTAATGAAAAGGTTTTGGATGAATATGTCATATTACAGATTATGTAGAATGACTTGGTGGATTTAATTTTCTTGTAAATGGAAGTACTGTTCTTTTTTAAAGAGTAAACTTTTCTTCAGCTCACACAAATATCAACATCCATTTCCTTTCCAAGAATTACATTCGTATCAAAGACTTTCCAACAAACTCAGCTCATGTTGCAATAAAATTTTATTCGTTTTAATATTGATATGAAAATATTTTTGCTTGAAAGTTTTGTGACAAGTTAAAATTAATAGTTATTGAAACATTTTGGGAGAGAAAATTTCCCTCTTCATGGATCTGCACCTACTTAATACAGCTCTCCTTCTGATTCTTATGAATTTTATGTATTTATTATTACACAGAAGTTAGTAGTGAGTGATTTGAAAGTTGTTGATACATCCACAAGCTGCAGAGCTGCTGGGAAATCTTATCTAAGAATATTTACACTGCAAGTGATATTTATGGTCCATTTCACAAATGAAAACGTAGACAAATATTATTATCATTAATTAAAACCTTATTCAAAATGAATTGATTTAAAACTTATGAGAAGCAAATGCTAGTATGGATTTAGGTGATAAAATGAAATTGATAAAAGCCACACACAAAAGGAAAATGTATCCTATTGGATATAGGGTAAATACAAAAAATAAATTAAATCTTATTAATTTTCACGGGTGGAGTAGTCAAAAAACATTTTTATTGTATAAAACATACCTTGAATGTTTCCTCTGATACAAGTGTATAATGAATAAATCAAAACAGTAAAAAATGTAATTAACATAATTTCATTGGTGAAACGAGTTAAACTACCATGATTCAAATTGGAAAGGTAAATTTTGCATTCAAATATCACTTTCATTTATTGCGAAAAATACATTTTAATTCATTGAGGATCAAGGATATTTTGGAGTAATAAGCAATAATAAAGCAATGTTTAAGACGCAGTTTTCCTGATGCTATATGTAAATGTATTTCCTTTACTTTCTCGCATCATATAATATACTTAGCAGCAACTACACTTTACAATTTCTAACATATGAAGACAACAATTTAAAAAATGTATAATAAAACAAATATAAATACTGCTGAATTAAATAAACTATATGGGCAATTCAGAATTACACATTATTCATTCGGTTTTCTCTATGGCCACCTTCAGTTTACGAATGTAAGCTGTATCCTTGTACAGACAAACAATTGTCTCTGTAGGATTAACAACACGAAATCTCATGACACATCGTAAGTACATTTAGTACAATGCCATGAGCACATATATGTCATAATTATAAGTTGTACAATTTTATACACCATAGTCGGTCATATGTACGTTTCATATAAATGGATTCTTGATCTACTTTGTTTATAAAAGAATCAGTTAGACAAAAACAGTTGGCCAGCAGAGAAGTGGAAAAGCTTAGGAAAACACAGACAGCGCTTACATGCTTCATTACATTACACATAGTGCCATTCAATGGAATGCTTGTTACCCTCTGACTCTTCTAGATATGGCCGATAGTTGCTCTTATGGTCATTGCTAGAACTACAACTTTTGCTAGAATACACGGGTTCACAAATTTCTTTCTGAGGCAACTTACAATACTGAACAAAGTATATGTGATACATGTTCTAAACCATGTTCCAGTAACATGATGTTAATGAACACATGCAAAGAGTACAAAATTGTTAATACTACAAATTCATTCCCGTCGTCTTATTAGCAACCAAGATTTCTTTAAAATGTCATTTACAGAATGAACTAAAATCAATTCATACATACCCCAATAAATTATGTAAATACATTTTTGATTTTTTGAATATCAATTAAGTCTAAAGGATTCTACCTGAACCTTCAACCACCCTGTCTCTACAATACTCTACTGTATTTCGTTCTAAAACTATAAACTCATACATAAGACGCTACAATTAAGTAAGGTATAGACATTATGGCATCATTTTAAATGGTCCAGATCTTTAATACAATAAAAAGTAAATTTACATCTTAACATATCCACAAAAGTACGTGGATGAATGTAATAATTATGTCTTTTTATGTCTCCACACAGTTTTACTCACACACCTGCCAGATACAGAAATCCAAGCTCAATGACGTTAATCAGTCATTCCAATTGAATGGCATTTATATAGGTTGCAGTACAGAACATCATTCCTTCGGTATGTGAAGTTCCTCAGATACAAACATACGGCCCCACATCAATATATGGTACTGATGAAGTGGTTGCTGATCACTGCAGGTTCTCATTGTTACACATGCACATGCAAGCATATGAGGGAGATACTTGATTAAATCCTGTAACCAAGTGACTGCATGAGCAATGATCAGAAGTTTTAAATATTCCTTTTCTGAAAAAGGACATCATTCTTCGCAGCCATTATCTTCTACTTATCTCCATTTTGATGGCTGGAACAAAAGACGGATAGTACAGATTCTAACAGTTTTTTCACAACTACAAAATATTTAGAAGTACTTAATACAAAAATGTGTCCAGTAACAGAGCACTTAACAACACTTACCATCAATGATGTCCTGCTTCATTTTACCCATCTCTTTCCGCATCTCCTTCAGTATTTCTTGTTTCAAACTTTCAAAATCTGAGCATGGAGCAGACGAGGTGGTGTCAGGCAGCCCATTAACTTTCGGACTCTCCTCAGAAGTGGAACCAAAGCGTTTACGAGCTGGTTTCGGCGATTCTGATCCCGAGCCATTTGCAAACTTCCCATTGGAACCACTTTTGTCCCACAACTTTTTATCTTGACTAGCATCTGCATCCTATAAAAAATGTATTTTTCATAACATTAAGAATCATTTAATCAAAATATAGCTTAATTATTTACAATACACACTTCTAGAATCAAAATTTATTTTCTAATTATATGTATTATCTTAAACAATATTCTAAAAGTTGTGTCACTGTGGACAAACACGGAAATCATAGAAATACCCAGAAATTGAAGGAGACAAACTAGTGGTGCCATAAAGTTAAGTATACTTTACAGAATTCAAGAGGAAAAAAAGGGAGCCTTTTTGGAGAAAACTTTGAAAAAGTTGAGGCATCATATAAAGTACCACCAAAATTCAAATATTCATTTTAAATTTGTTGGATGATAGAAAAGCAGTTACTTCAATTTTAAATGAGATTATCAATGTTATTGATAATCACATAATAATAACCAGACTGGGTAATATCTCTACGCAGAAGTCCTTAGCTGGCACTGGGACTTCAGACAATAGCTCGAGACCTATTAAAGTAACTCTTCAAAGTTCTAGTATTGCTCTTAATATCTTACATAACAAATCTAAGTACAAAGGTCCAATATGCATCAGAACTGATCTTACAATATGTCAGTGTTAATACATAAAAGAATTGATTAGGGAGCTAAATGCAGCTAGAGAACAAGGCATAGACACTAAGAGCATTAAATATTTCAATGGAGTTCCAAAAATTATCAAGGTTTCGAAAAATCGCTCAAATTCATCATGTTGCTGTAGGCAGGAAAACTAATCTCCAGACAATCGTCAAATTATTTTCATGGCTTGCATGCCATATTTTTTAAGTCGTCACCTCAACTGGACAGCTTTGATATTATAGTACTGACTGAGTCATAGATAGTGGATGAAACCTTTGGTGCTGGACTTAATCATTATACAGTAAAACTTCACTTATAAGTTTTTCAGGGGACTGAAGGGAAAAAATGTGAGAAAAATGCATAACTGACATTGAATATTATGAGCAAAATAAAGATACACGCGCGCGCACGCGCGCGCGCACGCACACGCGCACGCACACACACGCGCACGCACACACGCGCGCACGCACACACGCGCGCACGCACACACGCGCGCACGCACACACACGCGCACGCACACACGCGCGCACGCACACACGCACACGCGCGCACGCACACACACACACACACACACACACACACACACACACACACACGCACGCACGCACGCACGCACGCGCGCCCACGCCCACGCCCACGCACACACACACACATTTAATACATTTTCGGGATCTAAGCAGGTCGCCCGCACATCGCAGGGATCGTTTGAACGTTATACGGTTGTAAAGGGACTTTTATTATGATCGTATAAGTGTGAAAAAGTACAAACTTAAAATGCAGAGAATATATATATATATATATATATATATATATATATATATATATATATATATATATATATATATATATTTCTACCACTCTCCCTAACAACTTTTAAATTTTTTATTTCATCTGATATTGAAAGGAGTTGCATTTTCCTACCAATCTTTTTCGTTTAATATCGCGGACCCAAAATCAGGTAGACGACGAACTATACATCGATTTAAACATAGAGCCTCTGAGCCACACATTACAACGTTGTTCAGCTTGGAAAAATTATAATCGGTCAAAGGTCATCATCGAAGAAGTCTCCCCTGAGATGGAGGTGGGGGACTCGCAATGAGAACCTTACTGGATGACCTTAGTGCGACTCGGTTTCACTACGGAAAAGAAAGCCGTGTCCTGCATGGGCTCCCACTTGCGGCGGCGACCCGCGGCTAGTTGCTTCGGTTTCAAGCTTGATGTTCAAAGCACTGTGTTCTACATGGACGACAAGGAGCACACGACTGCCACAGTTTGGCAACACCCACTGCGCCGCGCGAAAAAGCAATAAATTCCATTAGCTTCTTACGCCATGGCGCTAGCGAAAGGAACTCGTATGATAATTATGGCTAGCAAAAGGGTCTTCGGAGAGTGGAACACTCAGTGCACAGACTTCACTTATTGGTCATCTACGTAGTTACCCTCTCCTGGGGACAGCTTTGATCTTCCTTCGGAGCTAGCCGTCGTCTTCCGAGATCTTCTAAGAGCTCCCGTACGAACCCGACTTTGACATTTTTCGCGGGCTCGCGCGGTCTTGGCCCCTCAGCTAGGCCGAGTTGAGCTTCTATATTACAAGTTTCATTAGCGGGAAGTCGTCTCAGAGGCCGAGCGAAGCGCTCTGGAGCGTGCAGACTCGATACAAGTTTCGGGATCTAAGCAGGTCGCCCCGCACATCGCAGGGATCGTTTGAACGTTATACAGTTGTAAAGGGACTTTTATTATGATCGTATAAGTGTGAAAAAGTACAAACTTAAAATACAGAACTGAAATAATTTAGTATGGGAATTATAGAAATTTATACGGAACCTAAAAAAGAAAACAACGTATAAACACGAGAAACGTATAAAAGGAGTTTCACTGTAATCATGATATCTACCACATGGATATTAACATCTTCACTAGTCAGCACAAAATGGGAGGTGGAGTTGAAGCAATTCGTAACATATTGCAACACAATAATAAAACTCATAAATTCTGGTATTGATTTGTATTTGTTCTGATTAAGTGAAACTCTGATTTTGTTATTATTGATGTTTATATTCCTCCAAATTTGCCACACAAAATTATTTACTCCTTACACGGATAAAATTGAGTGTTTATTCAAAACATATCCATTAGCTAAACTTACTTTGACAGGTAATTTTAATTTACTGCAGTGCATTATGGTGATTCTGGAGTACAGTGAAATTAACACAATTGGTTTGGTGGTGAAAGCCTTGCTAGCACACAACATGCACAGTCCATCAATTATTTAAATTTAAAGTAAATGATGTTCAAAATAATCAAGAAAAAGAAATAATGAAGAAAAGAATCAAGAAAAAACTCTTTATTTATTGTTTGCCGATTAATATGATTTCTCTAAATTGAAATCTACTTTATCAATCATTGCATGTGTCTCCTATGATCCAACTCCCAAGGGTACTTTTTTCTTAATGAAAACATTAAATTAATGAATGTGGTGGCTTGTAGGTATAGTTTTCACTTAACTGACCATGTTGCTACTAATAATGATTTGGTTCATATCCACTGGGGTATTCAGAAGAGTAATTTATTATTGAGAAAGAAAACTAATGCTCTCCATGTTTATAAAAAATCCCTTTGAGATTTATATTACAATAAGTTTTCAAATATTTGGAAAATGTGAAAAGGAAAGCTAGAAGAATACTGTACAGATTATATTAACTTAATTAAAAGAAATATGTCCTTCAATATTAAATTCTTTTGGATAATTGTAAATAACTCAGGAGGGATAAGTGATATGCCAAATTTGATGTATTATGGAAATGAATCAGCTGATTCCTCACAGATTACTGTGAAATAGTTTGCAAAATATTTCAAGTCTGTGTACAGACCTGATTGTGGTGGATTGATCCTCATGATGCTATTGTTAGTAACATTAATACTGGTGGCCTAACTATATCACAGGTGGATGTTTATAATACAATTGTTAAATTGCAAAATAATATAGGTGCTGGGCCTAACTGAACTCCAGCTGAATTTATCAAAAATTGAACTCTAAATTTTAACTCCAATACTTCATTGTCTCTTTTCTAGGTTAAAACATGAGAGCATTTTCACAGCAGGGTGAAAAAAAAGAGTTTTATTACAGCTATTTTCAAGTATTGTGATCGGTCGTGTATTGAAAATTATAAACAAATATCTAAACTTAGTTTCATTCCAAAATGCTTTGAGCAAATTATTACAATTCGTCATTCTTGCTATTGAAACCAAGTTTTTATTGGTGAACAACATGGTTTCAGGAGTAGGTGCTCAATAACAAAAAAAATTAATTCTCTTTGAAACTTTCATTAGAAATAAAGCTGATTAATTTTTACAAGTAGATATAATTTTCACAGACTTTTCAAAAGCATTTGACATTGTAAACCACAGATTATTGATATGTAAATTGATATGATTGGGTATACATTGTTCTTTTCTAAATCGGTTCACTGTTTATCTTGTAGATAGAATTCAAACTGTTAAATTTAAATCCAAAATGTCTATGGAATAGTGGTGTCCTCTGAAGTTCCTCAGAATTCTCACTTGCACCCCCAATTGCTTCTAATTTTTATAAATGACATTGAAAAGTGTGTTTAATTGTGAGGTTTTCCTATTTGTTGATAATAAGAAACAGTACAGTGAGGTATCCGAGTTGAATAACTGAATAGAGTAACAACTAAATCATCTATAGTTTCCTGGTATGAGAAAAATTATTTATTACTAAATATTAATAAATGCAAGACTATGACGTTCTCAAGATCATACAGACAAATTGATTCTAACTATAAAATCATGAATAAGAGAGAGTTGATCAAATTAAGGATCTAGGTGTCATATTTGATTCTAAATGACGTTTTAACCTGCACATTGAATATATTGCATCTAAGGCCAATAGAATGTTGGTTTTATACAACTTGCCACAGATTTTAAACATTTCATTTAATTTTAAACTGACCAATACATTTTTATGCTTAGCATGTCTGGACAACAAAAAACTAGAATCAGTTAAATATAATTTTTTAAATTTTATTTTATTTATTTGACATTGAATTTGCCAACTCTTTATGTAAATGATGATTATAGTCAAATTGCTAACCTAAGTTCTCGAAAATCTAGAGAAAGTACAGTGATTATATTTTCATATTTAATATTTGTAACAATAATATTGACAGTATTCAAATTTTGTCTAAATGGTGTTCAAAAATTCCATTGAATAATTTACTAAACAACAACCGAGAGAAATTCGAATAACAGACTTTGATAGCTAATCATCTCATAATGCACATATGAGTTGTATTCAAAATGTTTGTATAAATGATCTAGCAAACATGCTAAAAATTGATCTTGTCTTCTCCTGCTTGTGTATTCAAAATCACTAGGAAAATACAAATTAATTAGCCTTTTATAATTAGTACATATGTTTAATACTTTTAATTGTTAAAGGGCATTTACCTGTACAATATGAAACAAAATAAAATAAAATAAAAAAGTTGAGCACCTTGGCTTTGGCCAGAACAATCAGGTAATGTCTATTGTGGCAAAAAAGTCCAGTTTAGGTATTCAGTGTTGGTGCAAGCTAACAGGGAGACAGAGACAGAGTGAAGGTCAGTCAGTCAGACAGACACAGTGACAGCCTGGCTGACAGCAGACAGACCAACAGACAGTCATTCAGCCAAGACCGTATGTCACAGACAAAGACAAGAGTCAGTCAGCAGAGAGACAGACAGTCAGTCAGTCAGTCAGTCAGCAGAGAGACAGACAGTCAGTCAGTCAGTCAGTCAGCAGAGAGACAGACAGTCAGTCAGTCAGTCAGTCAGCAGAGAGACAGACAGTCAGTCAGTCAGCAGAGAGACAGACAGTCAGTCAGTCAGCAGAGAGACAGACAGACAGTCAGCAGAGACAGTCAGTCAGCAGACACACACAGTCAGTCAGACAGTCAGCAGAGACACACATTCAGCAGAGACAGACATTTAACCACGTTATTCAGGACATTAATCAATTAGTATTTACATAAGTAAACCTTATATTTTATGGATGTAATTTCATGATAAATGTTATCATGTTTAAGGTTTGTTAAGTTATAAAACTAAACTATACATGCACTAGAAAGCATGTAGTGTAATTTCTAAGCATGCTGTAATAAGTTTATAAAAATAAGGCAGTCATACAGCAGAGACAGACACAGTGACACAGTTTCAACGACAGTCGGGCCGGCAGTCCGACAGCCAGCCAGCCTGTCCGACCGACCGACAGCCAGCCTGTCCGACCGACCGCCAGCCAACCTGTCCGACCGACAGTCAGACAGACACAGACAGCCTGTCCGACCGACAGACAGCCTGTCCGACCGACCGACAGCCTGTCCGACCAGACAGCCTGTTCTCCGACCGAAGACAGCCTGTCGACCGACAGACAGCCTTGTCCGACCGACAGACAGGGCCTGTCCGACCGACAAGGACAGCCTGTCCGAACCGACAGACAGACAGACAGCCTGTCGACCGACAGGACAGACAGACAGGCCTGTCCGACCGACAGACAGACAGGCATGTCGACAGACAGACAGGACAGCATGTCGACGACAGACAGACAGCATGTCCGACCGACAGACAGGACAGCCTGTCGACCGACCGACGAACAGCCTGTCCGACCGACAGACCAGAAGAAGGTGTCCGACCGACAGACAGACAGACAGCCTGTTCCGACCGACAGACAGACAGACAGCCTGTCCGACCGACAGACAGACAAGACGCCTTGTCCCGACCGACCGACAGACAGACAGCCTGATCCGACGACCGACAGACAGACAGCCTGTCCGACCGACAACAGACAGGACAGCCTGTTCCGACCGCACCGACAGACAGACAGCCTGTCGACCGACCGACAACAGACAGCCTGTCCGACCGACAGGACAGCCTGTCGACCGACAGACAGACAGCCTGTCCGACCGACAGACAGACAGACAGCCTGTCCGACCGACAGACAGACAGACAGCCTGCTCCGACCGACAGACAGACAGGACAGCCTGTCCGACCGACAGACAGGAACAACAGCCCTGTCCGACGACAGACGACACTGTCGACCGACAAGACAGACAGACAGCCTGTTCCGACGACAGACAGAAAGACAGGCCTGTCCGACCGACAGCAGACAGACAGCTGTCCGACCACGGAACGACGGCAGCCTGTCGACCGACAGACAGACAGACAGCCTGTCCGACCGACAGACGACAGACTGTCGACCGGACAGACGACAGACAGACTGTCCGACCGACAAGACAGAGCGCAGAGCCTGTCTGGACCGACAGACCAGGACAGCGACAAGCCTGTCCGACCGACAGAACAGACAGACGGAGCTGTCCGACGACAGACCAGACAGACAGCCTGTCGACGACAGACGACAGACAGCTGTCCGACACGACAGAACCAGACAGCCTGTGCCGACCGACAGAAGAACAGCCTGTCCCCGAAGACAGAAACAGCCTGTCCGACCGACAGACGACAGCCTGTCGACCGCGACAGACGGCTGTCCGACCGACAGATGTAGCCGCCTGTCCGTACCAGTGTGGCCAATCATTCTTGTTACCTATAGCAATGAAATGTCCCAACAAATCTGGTATATTTGGTGCATACAGTAGTTCAGAATAGGAAAGACGCAAGTTTTACCTCACCACCATTATCACAATAGAAAAACAAGTTCAAAAGGACTTCCTCAAGGATCAAAGTTCTGGCCAGTCTTTTGGTAGTAAAAAACTTTTTTTTTTTAAATACCCTCCTGAACCTTTAGATTTCACTCACAGAACTTGAAATTGTATTTTTTTGCAGACAATTATTGCTTATCGATAAGCTATGATCACAAGAGCTGCCAAAAAGTTAGCAATCATGAACTCAAGAAAAATATAATTATGGACAAAGAAGAAGAAGAAGAGAGAGACAGAGAGAGAGACAGCGAGAGAGATGGACAGAGAGAGACAGACAGACAGAGAGAGAACAGAACGACAGAGAGAGACCAGACAGAACAGAGAGAGACCGAAGACAGAAGAGAGACAGACAGACAGAGAGAGACCGACAGACAGAGAGAGCAGACAGACAGAGAGAGACAGACAGACAGAGAGAGACAAGACAGACAGAGAGAGACAGACAGAGCAGAGAGAGACAGACAGCAGAGAGAGACAGACAGACAGATGAGAGACAGACAGACAGACAGACGAGACCAGACAGACAGAGAGAGACAGACAGAGCAGACCGACAGAGACGACAGACAGAACAGAGCAGAGAGAGACAGACAAGCCAGACAGAGAGAGAGACAGCCAGACAGAGAGAGGACAGACCAGACAAGAGACAGACAGACAGAGGAGCGGACAGACAGACAGACAGACAGAGAGAGATACAGACGGAGAGAGAGGAGAGAGAGACAGACGGAGAGAGAGAGAGAGAGACAGACGGAAAGAGAGAGAGACAGACGGAGAGAGAGAGACAGACGGAGAGAGAGAGAGAGACGACGGAGAGAGAGAGAGAGACAGACGGAGAGAGAGAGAACAGACGGAGAGAGAGAGACAGACGGAGAGAGAGAGACAGACGGAGAGAGAGACGACAGACGGAGAGAGAGAGACAGACGGAGGAGAGAGAGACAGACGATGAGAGAGAGAGAGACAGATGGAGACGAGAGAGAGAGAGACAGACGGAGAGAGAGAGAGAGACAGACGGAGAGAGAGAGAGAGACAGACGGAGAGAGAGAGAGAGACAGTACGAGAGAGAGAGAGAGACAGGACGGGAGAGAGAGCGAGAGAGAGACAGAGAGAGACAGACGGGGAGAGAGAGAGACAGACGGGGAGAGAGAGAGACAGACGGGGAGAGAGAGAGAGACAGAGAGAAACTGTCAGTTGGACAACCAACAGACTGGCAGACAGACTGTCTGACTCTGAATGACTGGCTGACTGGCTGAGTGAGTGAGTGAATTACCTACAGACTGAGAAGTAACAAATCAACAGTGAAATATCACAGAAAATTTATTGTATAGGGCATCTGATATTAAATGCCTGTTCGTAAAACTTAAGAATACTTGATTAAAATATTACATAAAACAATTATAAAATATCTGAAGAGGATGCTTTACCTGATCACTGGGCTCTTTCTTTTCTGCAGCTTTCCTGCGACGGGCTAATGTCTTAGCCATTTCGTCCATCATACTTGACATGGAAGCCATTCCACTGCGGCCAATTGTCCCATAGTTGCTGCTTCCACTGCTACTAGTACTGGACCCAGAGTTCTCTTGCGACTGCTAAAAAATATAATAAAAAGGAGGAAAGGTTAGATAAGATGTGCGCATTTTATATCTTATATTGTAATAATAAGCAGAAAGGAATTCATAGCACACAAAGTGCTATATAGCTCGTGATAATAGGCATGTGGATTGCAAATCAATGAAGACTGCAAATATTTTTATTATACTATGTTTTGTATGTGTTTACTATGTTTTACATAGTAAAATGTGTTACTACAATAAATTTACAGCCATATTGTGACATATTCTCTAATAATTTCAACAAAATTTAAATAGTGTAATTGAATCGGCTAGATTAATCATCAGAGCTGGTACACAATTTTCCAAAGAAACAGTTTTAATTACCTTTGCCTCACTAGGGTAGAAGTAATTTACTGTAAGATTTATTTCAGAACAAGAAATTCCTATGCCACATAAATGCAGAAACAGTTTTTTGCCAGCAGATCTTTTTCTAGAATTGTAAAACGGTTTCATTAGAATCAGGCTGATGACAGTCACACAAGTAATACAGTTGTACCAAATTAAATTGGTCTTGGTCTTTTAAAAAAATAAGCATTGTTTATCCTGAACGTATACAGTGGATTCCTAAATTCTTTTTACTTAAGTAAGGGTTTACACTAAATGGAGATGACAAAAAACACAAATTTTAAACATATGATTCACTTTAATTTTAATGTATAAAGACTAAGACTAATAACTAGCGCAGCATGAATGTGCTTTGATCTTTCTCAATTGTGAGTCCCATGAAGCGATGGTGTATAATTTTCCTGCAAAGTGTGAACATTGGCACACAAACAGTGTGTCCTGATGAGCTGCTTCTGTTGGGTTTTAGGCTGACCCACCTCAAATGCAGATTTCATAGAACGAATAACACTAAATTGGGGGTTGGAAAAGCAATGTTCTTATGGCAGCATACTAGGATATACAATACTGACTAGATAAATTTTGTTGAAGCCAGGGCTAATCGAGTTTAATTTGCACCAACATAGAATTATTAAGAACTTAGCAAACAATTTGAATGTACTCAAATCCTAACTTCACAAAAATCACAAAAGTAAGTCTGTTTAATAATTTTTCTTAACTTATATAATTAATTAAGTCTTCAATTGTAAAACTAATTGTTTTCAGTATAAACTCATTTTCATGGGATAGTACAATTTTCTTTGGAACAATTGTCTCTCTAATAAGTAAATACCACTAGTTGGACCTTTGTTTCATCTGACATCCAACATTCGATATTTCTGATAGCCAATATTTTGGAGTAGGGGTAGCCTCCAAAGGTGCCAAAGGTAGGGGAGCCTACAATGGTCAAAAAGGTATTATGTAGCAGATTGCAGCATGAGAAACCTCTTCATGCATTCACCAAATTCATACTTTGTATTAGATTCTTTAACCACATTTTAAAAGATCAAGATGAAGATCAGAGATAATGAGGGGGAAAAGAGCCAGAGAGAGGGTAAGAAAGAAAAGGAAAATATTATTCAAGGATTCTAAATAAAATAGTTACCTCAATATGCATTAAATTACATCACTTTATCTAGAAAGTTAATAGTAACAGTGAAACAATGAAGAAGAAGTATATTCAGATTAAACATACTAGACCAAGTCAAGAACAATACTTGCATTAAAATTTGATTACATAAAAGATTCAGAATCAGATGTATACCCTCCTACATTTAATAATAATAGTTTTTCTGACGTGAGGTAATAAATTTCTTTCTATGTGACTAGGAAGGGAAACTTTTTAGGGCACTTACAAGTAATTATTTGTCAACTGAATTACATTCATATATTTCAATTGGTAAATTTTGGCAGAAATTACTGATACCTTCACTTTATAAAACTTTTAAAAATAAAATAGCTACAATAGATAATATAAATTTTAGAATAATATTTATTCACCTGAATATTCATTGTAGTTTTAGACTTCATAATTCCATGAATATGTTCTTAAAATGAGATATATTCAGTTTTAGACTTCAAATAAGCAAAAGATATTTACTACTTTACCTTTGATCTCCTTAGTTTCGCACTCTGCAATTGTGCTGCTAGAGATGAGGTTTGATCCTGACCATCTGAACTGGAGGATCGTGACATGTTGGGGGCAGGAGGAGGTGGAGGAGGCGGTGGTGCTGCCGCAGCTGCCACTGCCACCATCGCCGTCATCGCTGGGGGAGCAGGAGCCATGGGAGGGGCCATTGGAGGAATACCCATTGGCGGGGCCATTGGAGGAACACCCATTGGCGGTGCAGGGGGCTGGGGGGCCATCATCCATGGGGGACATGGCGGGCATGGAGGGGCAGGGGGAGCTGGAGGAGCCGGAGGTGGGCCTGATTGCGGAGAAGGCACCGGTGCCAGAGCCATAGGTGGCGGTTGTGGGGCAGGAGGAGCTGATGAGGTACGATGATGTCCTGGGGGAGCAGGAGGGGCTGGTGCACCAGGTGATGAACTGCCAGGACTGCTCACAACTGAAATCAATTTAACCACTCTCTTAGGAACAACTTGCAATAACATTGCTTCAATTCTTTTTTCAATACTGTAATGTTCCTCCGTGGTGAATTAAAACCAACACAATATTATTTAAACAAAGAACGTTTATTCGTGAACAATCATACACTAAAATCTACTTGCTCTATTTACAGATATATTACAATTATTTATTTTTCTTTACACACGATTCCGTTCTCTTGATGATTTATTTACACAGTTCACTCCTTACACACTATTTATTTACACAGTTCTCTTCTTCTGTATCAGCCAGTCCGATCCAGCTCTGTCCATGGTCCACTGCACTTGACCCAATTCCCTGCACAGACCACAATCCCCCTGCGCAGACCACAATCCCCCTGCGCAGACCACAATTCCCCTGCGCAGACCACAATTCCCCTGCGCAGACCACAGTTCCCCTGCGCAGACCACAATTCCTTGCGCAGACCAGGGTCTACCGCACTGCTGTTCACCGCGATGCTCACTTCACAGCTCAGCTTCCACTGTAGACTTCAAACTGCTGACTGCTGTTTCCCCACTGCACCACTGCTTACCGCGATGCACCCTTCACAGCTCAGCTTTCACTGCAGACTTCAGACTGCTGACTGCCGTTCAACCGCTGTACCATTCTTCACCGCAATTCACATTTCACAGCACAGCTTCCACTTCGGACACACTGACGGACTGACTGCTTTTCTGCCACTCACTGACGTCTTACTACCCACTGACTCGCGGCCGCCGGCAGCGGCGCATTTATACCTGCCCGGCGCTTGTCTCCAGGCACCCGGCACATTCTCGGCGTTTCCCCGCTGCTCGCGGATAGTCCGGAACCGTCTAGTTCGGGGGGGAGGGAAGGGGCGCCGGCAGATGACGCAATCCACGCGCAGCGAATTCGGCAGGTGACGCAATATTCGTAACAATACATTCTGCCCAAAATGTATTATTGTTGTTTACACTCATAACACAAGATTACACTCTGTATTTATTCCCACTAAACAGTAAATGTTCACTGGCAATAAAAAATAAATAAATAAAGCACTCAATTGTAATTAAAAATGAAGTAAATGTCCAAACAAGGGCATGGCCAAACAAAAGCACACAGGGCAAATATTTTTTTGAATGTGGATGGATTTAATAGTAATTTACATTATAAGAGTTAACATTGGACAAATTTAGGCATCAATTTGGGCAAGGAACTGGAAAGAATAGGAATGTAGAAGAGCACAAAGTCGAAGAAAAGAGCTAATGTAAAAAGCACTATTTTATAAACGAAGACCATTAAACAATTAATGACAAAGTCCTTTAATTAGATCTTTTATCTCTTCAACTTTGCAGAAGTTGGATTTGTTTGATACTCACCTCAGAGGAAAAGTCTTGAAAAGACACCCCACAAAGAAATTTAACAACATACTATAATCAACTTTAAGAACTTACAATTGAATTTCACCCAAAGATTTGAGTTCCAGATTCAGTTAGAAATGTAAAAGTTATCTGTGCATTTAAAGGACAAGATCAAAGATTAAAGGAATCTTACAGAAACTTCTTTCAAGACTGAATTCCTCACAATAGAAGACACGGGAGTGTGGCTGATCTCACAGCTCAGAAGACCAAATAAGATGAAAGAACAGTTTGCAAATCAAGAGTTAGAATGAATGTAGCCCTAGGGCGGAAATAAACAATGAAAATGTAATAACATGTTATTAAGTTACACCATTTTAATAAAATTTATAATGTATTCCCCAGAATAACAGACTAAAACACATTTCGTCCTTCAAGCAAAGATTTGCAAATGACAATTATTGCATTTGTAATGATAAATATCTTTAAAATAAACATTTTTCTTAAAATGACATGTAATATGCCATTAAAAAACACCAGTATGTAAACTGCCATGATCAAAAACTTGCTATGCTTTTTTGCTCAATCAGTTTGAGTACAGGCCCTTCTAGATATCACCTCAATTGTAATCAACAATCACTACTATTATTTAATGCAGCATCATTACATGTCAAACATGAAATAGAATTCGTTATTTTAGACAATTTTTGCAATTTCAATTTATACGCGCTATTTCCAGACACTCTCTAATATTAATGATTATTTCATACAGAACTTTCACAAAAAAAGAAAGGGGGGAAGGGGAGAAAGAGAGAGAAAAAGAAAATAATGGTTTATCCGAAAGATGGTTCATCCACTTTCAGATACTGACAGAATCTGATACAGTAATCTGTCGGTTTTGATTGAATTTTCATTTCAAGATTTCAAAATTAGATTCATACATTATAATTCAATATTCTGCTGCCTTAAAAAATAATAAGGTGACTGGTAAATACCTAACAATTGTTTTTAATACTTCTAACTAGATATTCAAGAATTTTTTTCCCAGGCTCAAACTACATCACAGGTATCTGTCAAATAACTGGGTGGAAGAAGACCATGTTTCACAAAAACATTGAAAAATATAAAGAAAGAAAGAAAATTAATCTGGAAGCAAAATTTCAAAAAGGTCTCTATTTTCTATTGTTATGTCAAATATAACAATATCAAATTATTATTATTATTATTATTATTATTATTATTATTATTATTATTGTTGTTATTGTTATTATTGTTATTATTAATGTTGTTGTTATCATTGACTTGCCATTTGGTTATACCCAATTGCAATTTAAATTAATATAAAATAATTATAAAAGACTACAATTATAATAATAATAATGTAATAAAAAAAGAACAAAACAGCAATTAAACACATACAACACTAATTTTCTATGCATATTTATTAAATCTGCAAGTAATTACACTTACTCTGCTGTTGCTGGGACATTCTTCTCTCCTGTATTATGGCCACATCTTCTCGAGTCATCGTCCTGTCAACACAACTGAAACTAATGAATCAACCAGCACCAATAATCAACAATTGACAAACAAATATAATTTGAAAACCTTTAACTCCACCTCCTGCAATTTTGTATCACTACACATCCACTAAAATCCCCAACATCATAATTTAGCACAAATTTGTTCTTTCTGAGTTATAATAATGATTTACGGTATTAATTGGATCTTAAGGAAGATTTATGGGATTACCATCACAAATACAAATCCTTTCTCTAATATAAAAAGATGTTTATAGAATGTAAACATTAACAATGTTGCTAGCAAATTGTGAATTTATTTTACATACATATAGAAATTTAATGAATCTTTCAGAAAAGAAAGCAGATACAAGACAATAGAAATTTGGAAGGAATTTAACTTTACATATAATATTATTACAGTCTGATAAAGGTCTCATATCTACAAAGGTGATTGAGATATTCAAGCTTGCATTCTGTGCAAGATAGAAAAGTAGCAATACAACATCTCCAGCACCCCTAGTTTCACTACTTAAGAATCAATATATCATACGATTGTTCATTATGCTAAAAAATAATACAATTATCTCCTTTCACATTTCTACATAAAATGTACAAATATGCATAGGTCTACATTCTGTGCGTATATACACAAATCATTCAACAGTGAGCCAATAAACAAGTTTTTAAAAAGTCGTACTACTTTCAACTAAAAATAGAATGTACCAATATAATGCATCAGATGAACTGCAACAATATCAGAAATTTAAATGATAACCATTTACCCCATCAAGATAAGTACATTAACACCATATATCCCATCACTCAATCATGCATTATTACATAACAGTTAATACACTGCAAACCCTACCTCACTATAGCGATGTCTTCTTGCCTTTCCCAAGTAAATAAGCCATCATCCATCCAACCAACTAAGAAACTACTACATCCCCCACCAACTGAGTTGATAAGTTCAGCATTTCTTTGTGAAGCGATGATTAAAAGGCACTTAAGAACCAGATACCTTCATAAAGCAGGTCAAATAATGATTGGCCTTTGGTAATTGAACCGAAGAACACAATAAGAAAGAAGCAGGTATTAATTTTTTTGTAGAAAAATCAAGAAACAACACATGCTTTAACTCACCATACTGGATATCAACATATGGAAATCAAATTATTGTTAAAAACAGGTGTATGTGAAAATCACAGTTCTAAAATATTTAATAAAATCAAGGGATTAGAGAAACAGGATAATCCTATTATTTTTGCCAGCAGGTGTTCCAAAATCCAGACAAAAGCAACACATCAATATCATTTGTTATGTTAAGATCAGCATTAAATTTGCAATGAAAGCAAACTTGGAAATTTCCAAGAGAAAGCACAAGAGAACCAAGCATGACCTGGGGCAAATCAAGGAGCATACAAGAGTGGCACTCTTAAACCGTACCTCCCAGGCACAATGGACATGTGGACTTCTCCCCCAGCTATCCGTGAGGAGCTCCCAGGTGTCACTTGATGGTTCAGTACAACACGAGGAAGAGAAACCACCTGACTGAAAGGGAGTGGAGCAAACTTCAACCTACAGTGAAATTGGTGCTTTACAAGAAGTGGTGATGAAATATGCAGGATACATTTAATCACTTAGAACAATAAAATTAAATTGGAAGTTGACGCTGGCAGACTGACTCCTTTAATCAAGCACGTAGCATAAATTAAATATTCATACTTCTAAAGAATAGCATGCCAAGTACATAGAGTATCATAAACATAACTGAATGGTACCATCTGTGTAATGACAATTGATAAGATCATGTCATCATTCTGTTCTTCAATTCATTCATGCTTTCTAAAAGTACACTGTGAATTACTAACAGTCAAGATGCGTTCACAAACACATTCTATGTTTGAAAAGATAATTTAACTTTTACAACAGATACTTCGCTTCATTATCAGAAGCATGCAGAAGATAAAACAAAATTATACATTATACAAAGCACAATGCTACAGTACACAAAGCACAATGTTTCAAACATAATATAATTACCTGTATCCCATATCTTCATCATATTGACTATTACCCTGCTGATATATTCCTTGTTGGCTAGCAGGGTGAGGTGGCTGACCCGTAGATCGAGATAAAGTGTTATTTAAAGTCTGCAAAGAACAACCGTTAAGATTTAAATCATCTCCAAGAAAATTTTGATATCACAAAGAAAGAAAGAAAAAAAAAGAAATTTGTTACTTGGTTTTTCAGCAAATGCAGAACACAATGATACATCTCATTTGACATACTCACATCTAACGCATGCAACATAGCCCGTGCAAATGCATCTGCATCTTCTTTACTGCTGAAGTTTAATCCGTACACTTGTTTGTTGTCTCGCCATTGATGAAAAGTGGCAGTTGCTTGATTGTATTTCAAGCCTTTAAGTATGGCACAGTTGATAACCACCTCATGATCTTGGAGTTTACGTCCTACAACTCGAAATGTGTTGTTCACCTGATGTTGGTAAATGTGAACCTTTGACAGTCCGGAAGAACTGCCACTTGGTACCCATTTCTTATTGACATCATCATATATCATCACCGACGCCCGCGCCGATGCAATACTCTGTTCACTGAAACAAAGCCAAAGTTTATTACACGCAATATCCAAACAAAGTTTCTATAAATGATGTTTCATTTGCTTCTCTAGATCCAATATTATGTGAAAATCCACAAATTCAATGACATTCAAACAAGTAAATGATATATAAATATTTATAGCTTTAATTATTTTACAAAAAAAAACAAGCAAAGATAAGATAAACAATTCTAAACAATCAGCTTTAATTAGAGATGCATACAAAAACCATATAGTACATCAACCACAAAAAGAAAGTGGATAACACACAAGGCATAGCAAACATTTGTAAGCAAATAGATAGCATTTTAGGTACCCATAATAGGTGTACTGCGGTTTGTCCATAACATAAATATGCAATGACGGTCGAAAGAGAGATCTTATCGTCTCATCACTCTTACCAAGCCCAGTATTCCTCCCAAGATAAGCGGTGGGCAGATAGCGCAGTCTTTAAGGCGTGCTCCATCAGTATTATCGTACCGTATCGTACCACGTGAAAGGGACCCTTGCCGACTAGCGTCAGCGAAGGCGACAGCGACAGCGCCCCTGGGCGTTGCGCAAGCTATCGCCGGAAACTTGCATCGGAAAAGATTTTCCTGCGACCGCTCCTAAAAGCAAGGCTAACATGAACTTTTCAACATCCGTCCGCTGCAGATAAGGAGTTGCGGTCAACGCCAGCGAGACCACTAAATACCTAGAATATCGCCTTCCTTACACCTTTTATCGCGGGCCGAAAGTATTCCACCCCGTGGTGTGGATCGACCCTCGTATTATAACAATTCGAAGAAGAACCCTTTCCCTAAATTTGGTTCCTCGACTTCCGTCAACTCTACTTCCGAAGCTCCAGGACTGGCCAAAGCAGAACTGAAGCTTTCTGAAGAAAGTACTCCACAAGAACATTAGTAAAGAACAGCAGAAAAAGCCGATTCCCTCGAGGTGGTATTTAAATCAGAAATTGTCATACCTACAACACGTTAATTTTTATCGCGACATCTACATACTTAACTGTCACGAAAAATCGTCGATATGAATAGCGTAGGCGAAAACATTAACTTTCTGATGCCCACTAATAAAATATTACCGATCTCTTATGTCGCTTAGATATTTGTTTTTTCTGTAACTGCTCCATCAGATATTAAATAAAATCCTGGATGATTTGTTACAAAGAAACGTCTTTATTTCGAACAGGCATCGCCTAGAAACATCACGGTGAAGAGGCCTGAAAAAAAAATTTGAATTTTCAATTTTTCTTCTTTTACAATTTTAAATACTTTTTATACTTGTCTACATTTACAAATTTGTGGCTGTCACTATTTCTACTGACTTTACAATAAAGAATAAATTAAAATATATATTCCAAGGAAATTGGGATAGTTTCCAACCATTATAACCCCGAAAGTCAATAATTCGTCAATTTGTTTGGCAAAATGAGTTATTGTAATGAACTTGATCCAAATTAATCAGAAGAGCCCGGAAATTTGGTAAAATATATTTTTCTTGTTACGATTTTATAACTTCAGGAGTAAGTATATTTTCTTTTTTTTTTTTTTTTTTTTTTTTTTTTTTTTTTTTTTTTTTTTTTTTTGGCCAAATTTTAGAATTGCTATATTTGCTTCAGGTGCCAATTCTTAGAATTTTGCCTTTACGTCATTATTTTCCTTTTTTCTTCTGGCACTGATCTCGAAAACATACCTAAAGCCTCGACAACAAAAAGGCACTGTCGCGTCTTGTCTTTCTCTGCAAGCAGATGCACCAGGAAATTATAAAAATTAAAATGGTAAAGGAAGACGATACGAGTCTAGATTTTTGGATTTCTTTCATTGATGCCGACAGGCACTACTACTTTTGACTACCGCCTCCAGCATCTACGCGGCTCTTCTCACTGCTAGCAACTACACAAGTGCGAGAAACGAGAACTTCAATTGCGTTTTCACTGATGCCATTCCAAGATTCAAAAGGGAATTCACAACAGCATTTCGCAGCGGCAAGAGGCGCGAGTGAAACAAATTCCTAGTCTATTCTGGGTGGTCACATTCAATAAAGATTACAAAGAAAACATCGTTTACTTTCTTTTAAGTGCTGATGTAAATTTTAGTTACAATAAAATTTTGAATAATTTAAATTACTGTTTTACAGTAATTTCTTTTAAATGTCAATTTTTCTTTGTTTACATGCCTTTCTGCACCAATACTTTACCAAGAATAAATACTTTTTTGCATGTTTATTTTAGTAAAAATAAATGACTTTTTGCCTGCCTATTTTAGGTAAAAAAGATCCTAAACTTCCGATCTCTGTTCACTGGTGTTCCTGAAGTATTGAGAACTGTGCCCAAAATGATATGCAAAATGACGTTAGACGCAATACACGTCCACTTACGTACATTGGAATACATTTTTAAACTGCTTTCCTGTCAATGAAACAAAGCACCATTTACTTGGAGGAACATATTTTGTTTTCTATTATCAAATACTCTTTATGAAACTGGAATTATTTTGGTTCCTATAAATCTGTAAATTCGTCTTAAAAATTTGATTTTGAGGATAAAATTTTGATTTTGGGAACTTTCTACAATTCTTAGTTTATAATTTTGGGGCCCCGAAAAACTTGTCAACTTGTACGCACGCAACTTCCTAGAGCAACATGCCTCGCAAGGATCCGCCCTTTTTATTGTTAATGCATTAGGGCGAGCGACACAAAAATAGTAACAATCAAAATGCATAAATAATATTAACAAGCGAAATTGTAAATTAAAATAGCTTTCTGCACGAATTTTCCAGTAGAATACGATCGTCGAAAGGGGCTTCGTTTTTCAACACTTACGAGAGCACGTATTTCCTTCCTGCAAATATTTGTTTTCTTTTCGTGCTCCCAATCGCAAACAATTGAAACAGTAAAAGTAAACCTAAAAGATACGAAAGCAGAAAAAACCATTACTTATACATTTTTTAGTGTTCTAAAACAAACAACAAACTAATGTACTGATTTAAGAGTTTGGATTCGAATATTTGTTTAATACTGTCGGTGTTGAAAATGATAAAATATTTATAACTAAAGTTTTCAAACTCTCTACGTCAAAGCATAAATGCACCCGAAGAACTCAACCGAGAGGAATGAAACTTGACGGGTGGGGGGTGGGCTGGTCATCGTGAGACCCACGAAAGACTCAGGCCCCATGCGCGATGGCACAGGTGCCACGAGAGCAGCGCCTCGCAGTCTCGCTAACAATTTGGGTTCTTTTGTCGTGGACTGTGCGCCTGGGTATAAATGGGTAGCAGAGATACCTTTCAAACCCCGAGAGCGCCGGTTCGATCCCAGACGTGGCGCTTGGATTTTCTACGGCTGGAAAATTCCCAGGTCGGCCATGTCGTGCATCGGGCGTGTGTCGGGCATCGAAAAGAACAATCGGAAAGAAAAAGGGCATTCATTCTGGCTACAAGCCCGGAAAGATTAAATTCTCCGACAACCCTCACACCTATTAGGTATCATATTCGCTCAGCCAGGGAACGATGTAATGCTCAATAAATACGAGAAAGTCAGCAAAATTTTGGGAAGCGAGGGCCTAAGGATTTCAGTTCAAACCCAATGGCGGTGATGGCAACGGTTAGCGTACTGGACTGTTGTACCCAAGTTGGCGGGTTCAAACCCGATCGAAGCCGTGGATTTTTAAGGGCGAAAAAGTCCTTCGTACGCCTTCCTTCGGAGGGGAAGTGAAGCCGGCTGTCCCATGTTCGTAATTTACTTGCATGTAAAAGATCCTCAAGCATCTGAGCTAAATTCAAATCGCCTGTTTCTCGCCCAAGAAATACCTTCTTTCTCTGCTAGATGAAAGGAGCGTAGCGAAATTTGCGTGGTCAGACGGAAGAGCGGGCCTGATGGCCCGAGTCTCGCCACGTAAAATTAGGCTAATTCAATTCAATTCAAACCCTCATAATAAAGAAAAATAAGTCGCAAAGACAAAGAATTTAGCTCAATAAAAATAAAGGTGTAATGGAAATATTACCTTGATAAGTGACGCCATCAATATGTGATTATGTATTCGTGGTTCACATGCCCCCTCCTCAGAAGCTCATGGACTATCCGTGTCAGCCCACAGTGGGCCAATGGATCGGTTTCCAAGCGGTCTTTGGTCTCCGCCAAGTGAGGTGACTGCGTTCTCACAGTGCGCTTTTTACTGAGTGTACGGTTCTTATTTACCAAAAGGGGTATTTGCCTAAAGTAGGCCAACCGACGATCGTACGAACGACATGTAGGGTCAGAGCAGAGACTAATATGCTTAGCCATAGCAACGGGATTTTTAGGAAAACCCATCAACAAAACAAGAAGATTCACACTTTCTTGTGCGGAGAAGCATCCAACAACTGCGACTGAGAACAATTAAAGAGCACTCATCCTCTTCTCATGAATTGCCGCCTTTTGCACAAGCTTTGCGAAGTAGGAACATCTCTATAAGCACTAATCAACGGCGCTACAGACTGCAATGCCGATTCATTAACGATCCCCAGAACATCTAGGACCCCGAGCGCCCCCCCCCCTTCCCCCAAGGCTCGTAAAGCCGAAACTTCAAAGCACGAGCTTTGGCCAGCCGCGTGCCCAATGAGAAATGTACATTTTACTGGGCATGCCGTCAACCCTCCACATCCATGGCAAAATCTGCGAAACGTTGGATAATACGGCTTATTGGAGGCCACTATGGAGACGTTAATACATACTGGGTACATCACTCTTTATTTTTAATCATTAACAATTAATTCCTAACAGCTTTTACATACTTCACATAGCCCTGCAATCCATCTGTTCTGAATGCAACTGTTTTTTGAGGAAGAATTACTAAACGTTTCTACGATAAAAAGGGTGATGAATAAATAGCATTTGTATATTGCTGACGCAAAAATATTAAACGCACAAGCATTCTGATACTATTCACTTCGTATCGCACGTCCGAGCTTAAGTCTCGAAATTACCTGTAATTAATGTTTAATTAGATGGTTCTTAACT